GATCCTTCCGCCTCAGCCTTCCGAGTAGCCAGAATTATAGGCATGTGCTGGACGCCCGGCTAATTTTTTGATTTATTGTAGAGATGAGGTCTCACCTGCCCAGGCAGGTCTCGAACCCGCGGGCTCAGGCAATTCACTCACCTCAGCCTCCCAAAGTGCTGGAGCCACCGAGCCCGGCTCCAGTCAACAATATTAACTGAGCACATATCATGCACTAGATATTGCACCAGACACTGGGGCAAAGGAGAATAAGAGGCTGTCAGGGTCATAGCTTAATGGGGGAGAAAGACTCCCAAGCAGATAATCCTAACATGCCATTCATAAGTCAGACAATAAGCACATGATAAAGAGATGCATTCCTCTCACCCAGGGCTTTGGCGAAGGGTTCCTGAGTCAGACGATGGCTGGGCTGTGTCTTAAAAACCGAGCTAGTGTGATCCGGGTGGAGAATGTTGGAAAGGGCCCTCCAGGTAGCGGGAATGGAATCAAATCAAATCACATAGAGCTCATGACCCCCACGGCCTGTTGGAAAACTGCCAGGCGCTCTGTATTATCCTCACAGCATGACATTCGCTGAGGGATGGTGCTGGGAGGTCCTGCCAGCTCACGCCGGGCCTGTTTACCAGATTGAGAGCTGGTGTCTGTTGTTGGCGATGAGGAGGCAGCCCCTGCAGGCACTCAAGCAGGGGGGTCTGGCGGTTTCCATCTGAATTGGGCAGCAAGGGGGGAGGCCAGGAAGACAACTGGGAGACATGAGTAGTCAGGGGGCACAGAGTGAGGGGTACCCAGTGGAGGATGGGAGGCCAGGGAGGAGCATGGATTCAAGAAACAGCTAGAACTATTGATTGATTGATTATTGATTGATTGATCGATTATTGATTGATTGAGTCCGGTTTTCATTCTGCCTCCCAGGCCGGAGCGCAGTGGCACGATCCTGGCTCCCCACAGCCTCGACCTCCTGGGTTCACACGATCCTTCTGCCTTGGCCTCCTGAGTAACTAACCGGGACGACAGGCAGGCACCACCCATTTTATTATTTTTTGTAGAGGCAAGGACTCACTACGTGGCCCAGGCTGGTCTGGAACTCCTGGGCTCAAGCCATCCTCCTGCCTTGGCATCCCAAAGTGCTGGGATTACAGATGTGAGGCACTGCACCCGGTCTTGTTAGGACTTTAAAATGGATGATCAAGGGCAGAGCCCGGAAGAAATTCCATGTTTCGGGATCGGGTGGAGTAAATCAGGGAACAGGGAAGAAAAAGGAGGGCTGGTCAACATATTGAACTTGAGATCCCTCCAGGACCTTCAGAGAGAGATGCTTGGTGGGCGGGAGAGGGCATGAGGCCAACACTAGAAGCAGTCGGGGCTGGGAATTGAAATCTGAGTGCCAACAGCGCAAAGACAGGGAATGGTCGTTCAGGGTGTCTTCTTCTCCTTCTCCTTTTTTTGAGTCAGAGTCTCATTCTGTCACCCAGACTGGAGTGCAGTGGCACTCTCATGGTTATTGCAGCCGCAAACCCCTGGGCTCGGGAGATCCTTCCACCTCAGCCTGCGAAGTAGCTGGGGCTACAGGCATGCACCACCACACCTGGCTAATTTTTAAAATTTATTGTAGAGACAAAAATCTCGCCATTTTGCCCAGGCTGGTCTTGAACCCCTGGGCTCAGTCTATCCTCTCACTTCTGCCTCCCAAAGTGCTGGGATCCCAGGTGTGAGGCACTGTGTCTGGCCCGGGATGTCTTCCAAGAAGAGCATGTGGAGGGAGAAGAGCAAGGGGCCGGGATGGAGAGCAGAAGAACACCGGTCTTCAAGGGCGGGCAGACGGGGGTAGAGGAAAGAGCTGGGGGACATAAAGATGATGAGAGGGTTAGACATTCAGTGTCAGCAGAGCAGAGTTTCCCGAAGAACCCAGGGCTAGGGATCCGTGGAACTCTGCTCTGTTTCATCTGAAGTCACCAGTGACAACGGTATTGAAGACACGTCGTAGGAAGGAAGCCATCAGCCAGAGAAGGAGCAAAGGAAGGGGGAGGAATTACAGAATGAGAAGACCAGAACAGAGGTGGCTCCAAGAGGTTGCCTTGGAAACTTGGTTTCCCTTTCCCTTAAGTCTTCAAGCTGGTACCTGGCTTAGACATCCCAGACCCCAGAGGCCAGAGAAAACGGTGCTTGAAAGCTTGCCTGCTGAGAAAACCTTGCCCAGGCCTGAGCTGTGAAGATCTCAGCACCGGCCACATTGATGCTTTGAGTCATCCTGAGATAAGAAAAGATGGGCCCAACTTCCAGCCTCTGTGAGTCTATAAAGTCTTAGTCTACAGGGCCTTCGGAGCCCATTCCATGAAACGCACGGGAATCTGCAGACTCACATAAATCATACACTGGAAGACTTAAATAGGGGGCCCCTGTGTTCCTGCCCCTGTCAGGGTACGTTTTTTCCTGATATTTTCTGAGCATGAGATTTCCCCTGTCTCCACAGGTTATAATTCCTTCACCCATTTCCTTCACCATTCAGCTCAGATGTCACCTCTGCCCTGAAGTCTCACTGGGGCTTTCCAGGTGCCATTAATTGCCTCCTTTCATGTTCACAGCTGGCTGCGTTGATGAATCTCTGTTCCTGATGCCCATCTGTTTCCTTCCCTAGGGTCAGCTCCCCACGGGCCTGGGAGGGAGGCCATGTAGCATCTGGGCTCTGGGATCAGACTGCCTCGGTTCCAATCCTTGTGCCTCCATGAACACTGACTTTCTCTGAGCTTTAACTTTCCTGTCCATAAAATGTGGCTTGTAACGGTACCTAACTCCTAGGGTTGTGTGAATGGTGTGTGATAGGTATGTGCTGGGCACGTCCTCTGAGCTCCACAAACATTAGCTACTGCTATAGTCATTACTTATAACTCCCTCTACAACGCCCAGCACCTGGTTGGCTCTCCATAAAAATTTGTTAATTTCTTTATTTTTCCTTTTCTTTTGGAGTCAGGGTTTCACTCTGTCGCCCAAGCTGGAGTACAGTGGCACAAGCATGGCTCACCACAGCCTTGACCTCCTGTGCTTAAACGAGCCTTCTGTCTCAGCCTGTCAAGTCGCTGGGACTACAAGCATGCACCACCATGCCTGGTTGAGTTTTTTATTTTTTGTAGACAAGCTTCACTGTATTGCCCAGGCTGGTCTCGAACTCCTGGGCTCAAGCAATCCCATCGCCTTGGCCTCCCAAAGTGCTGGGATTATAGGCACTGCACCCGGCCAAAAATGTGTTAGTTTCTATCCCGTGCCTCCACTGGCACTTCTGT